AGCATGGACGAGATGGACATGGAGCTGCCGCCAGACACCGAGCCAGAGCGGGCGATGGAGCTCAAAGCGGGCAGGTCGCGACCGGACGGAAAGGCGCTGGGCGGCCCAACAGCGACGGGAGGCGGTCGAGGAGGCGGCGGGCCGTAGCCCATGACGGGGTGAGGCTGCGAGGGATGAGGCGGCTGCTGATGATGCTGCTGTTGTTGAGGCTGCTGCTGCTGCTGCGGCCCCAGCTGCTGGGGAGGCGACGTGGGCGGCGGCGGCATGTTGCGACTCAGCTCGCGGGCGGTGGGCAGGGACGAGGCGCTCTGGGCACGCGAATGGCTATGGCTATGGCTGGGCTCGGGATAATCGCGGACGTGGGAGGAGCGGTAGGGCGCGTCGGAAATGCGGCGCTGGTGGGCATAGGCCGGGCTGGCGATGCGATGCGAGGCTGGCGACGTCGCCGAGACGGGAACTGCGTGCGCGGCCGTCGTCGCGGTGGTCGCGGTCGGCGGCAGGGGAAAGTGCTGTCCTCGGTGGCCGTGATGGCGATGGTTCTGGCTGTGGCTGGGGTTGTGATGGAGGTGAGGATTGTGGTTTTGGTGCTGGTTGTGGTTGTAGAGAGCTGGCGACCGTCTTGGATCCATAGTGCCGAAGTTTTGGCTGCTTAGCTCGAAAATTCCGACTGGGCGGAGCGATCCAGCGACGATCAGTCACAGAACCTGAGAGGAACTGAGCGCCGCCCCTGATGGCCGCGGAGGTTGGGGCGAGGTGAGGAGGAGCTGGCAGAGACTCTCGGTGAGGCGTCAAAGGATGCCACGATCTGGCCAGATGCCGCGAGTCCACAGCGTCACGCCCAGAAGCAAGTGGCCGAATCGCTGCACCGTGGCCTGGCCTGTACGCATGCGCCCGGCAGCTGCCGTCTGGCAGGGCGTCGAGCCGAGTTTTCGCAGCCGGGGTGTGAGGCCAAGGCTGGGCTAGTCGAGAGGCCGAGTCGCCCACCTCGAATCAGTCAATGTCTCGAGCGCGAGACAAGAAGCGGTGCCAGAGCGGGCCAGCCACCGACAGCACGAGGTCCGCCCTGCGCTAGAAAGCCTTCAGCTTGGCACGGGCTTCCTTTTTCTCTGCTTCGTCCAGCGTGACGACAGCGTTAAGGCACGGAAAGTAACAGGTAGGATGTCACAGAGGGAAGATTTGCAGATGCGAGAAAATAAAGACCAAAAGAAAAAAAATTAGTGACACGCACGGCAGAAGCCAGTCAGCCGTGCAGGGATCCAAGCTCCCCCCCTTGCCGGAGCGTGACGAGATGCGCGAGGACGGATTTGGAGAGGAGGGGGGGAAAGGCAGGACAGCGAGAGAGGACCCCTAGGAGGAGGCGGTGGGGAACCGGGATGCGCTTTGTTTGGTGCCGGTGGTGCTGTGCTGTGCTGTGCTTTGTTTTGATTTGTGTTTTTGTTTGTTGGGGGTCTTTGGGTTTTTCTCGGTGCGTGTCGTGTGATGATGGCTGTGAGAGACGGTTTGGAGAGGCGCAAAGTCGTTGAAGCCGTGATGCTGGTTGATGAAGCGAGGCTGGCGTTTTTCACTGTTGGCGGTCAGGTATGGTGCGCGAATGGCAGCTGCGTCGAGTCGAGATGAGTTGTGGCCTCGTCCGCTTCTATCTTTTCTTTCTTTATTGCAGTCGATGATTGTGTGAAGATCTCGTCAATCCCGTCGTGATTCCAATGTGAGAAGAACCTGGAGTGGCGGAATCCAGACAGAACCTGATGAGTGGCTTGGTTGGAGCCACTCTGTGCTAGCTTTGAGTTCTCTGCTAGCGGATCCCGGGGCAAGTCTCTGCTTGGC